CGAAAAGTTCACTTCTTTTGTTTAATGTCGTCTCCTTCGAGGATTTAAGAATTGCCATTTTTTCCTCCAGGCACAGATTGCATGACCGTCCGCCCGCTGAGTAAGCCGGAACGCATTTGATAATTGTCCACTTGATGTTGAATGGTTTGTTTAGTCTTTTTAGGTTCCATGTGTGCTTTGATAGTTCAGTTTCGGATTCGTAGGCTGGGTGGTTTATGGATTTCTTGTGGTTGTAGTATCTGGTCTTGAACGTACCAGCTGTTACACCGATGTAGTTCTTCGACTCAGGAGGATTTGTAGTTGTAATCTCGGCATTATAAACGTGGCTTTCAGTTAGGCATTTACCAAGGAGTGGGCATTCATTCTTGATGCGCCGGTTGCAATTTGTACGATCTGACGAGGTTTTGTTCGATTTCATGATGTTTGGTTGTGGCTGGAAATAACACTTTTTACGTTTGGCATGCACGAGTAGCTAACTTTGACTGAATTGCGGTTAAATATCTTGTGAAGCTTTGAGGATTTTGGAAAGTGTTTATCGATTATTTGAAGGAATTTCTGCGCAACATTAGTTTTAACGTTTTTACTGAAAGGTGGGTTAAACCAGATTATGTTCCGCTTACGTTGTGAATTGTGACGGTGTTGGCTTGGGTTGTGTTGGTCGGAGTAGGTGAGCCTGATATTATAATTACAACGTTTGAGTGATTCTTCGTAAACCGGTAGACTCTCTTTAAAAGATTTTCGTTGGAGGATAGTGAGGATAGACGTTTGTTGATTGACTTCGGTATTTGCTTGATGATGCTAGGTGGATGGTTAGATCTAGCGTCAACATACAGTGGCTCGTTGTTTGGCTTACGGAAAGGTTGGTGATTTCCTTCGATAAGGTTGAGTGTGACGTCAAGAAAGTTTACCAGGTAGTAGTTGATTTCCGCAGTGATTTTAAGGCCATAGTCATCAAAGATTTTGTGGAGATTTTTCCTTGCATGGTCAGCCTGACGACCTCCCGTTCCCTCAAGGATGAGCAATCCGTCATCTCTGTACAACCCAACGTTGTCTATCCCAAAGCTTTCGGCTAGACTTGTTCAGCAAGAACAAACCGACCAGTTCACAAACCTCGGCACCGTCGTAACTTCCCATCGCGACATCGAAAAGAGACTGGTTGTTCTTTTTTACCCACGTTTTATCGTTGCAGAAGAGAAGAGACTTGCGCGGATGTTTAATGATAGAGATGTGATAATCGGTGATTTCGATCAAAGATTTTCCCAAATTTTCCACATGACCTTTTTGAATTGTATCAGCGCAAGCACGTCAAAAACGTCATCACACAAACTTTAACTGCTGTAGAGTAATCATTCGCCTGATGATCGTTTCAGAAGAAACGTGAAACACAGAGTGTAGCGAACAATATAGCCTATTCAAAATTTTGTAATATTTCATTGATTTTATTTTAATCGCTCTATTAAATTTTGATATCGAGCACTCTTTCTTCTTGGATACTTCACTTAATTGTAGTGTCTATATATATATATATATTATAATATATATATTATAATATATATATATATATTACATATATATATATAATATATTATATATATTATATATATTATATATTATAATATATATAATTATATATATTATAATATATATATAATATAATATTAATATATAATATATTATTTAATATATATTATATATATTATAATTATATATATATATATTATATATATATAATATTATATAATTATATATATATATAATATATATATATATATTATATTATATATATTATATATATATATAATATATATAATATATATATATATTATATATATATATATATTATATATATTATATATATTATATATATTATATATTATATTATATAATATATTATAATATTATATATATATATTAAATATATATATATATATTATATATTATATATATATATATATTATATATATTATATATATTATATATATTATATATATTATATAATTATTATATATATACCGGGTGTCTCATAAAAAAGTATCGGTGTTTGATTTGTTATACCTTTAAAACTGAATAAGGAGTTTCAATCGAATAGACTTCACTGAATTCAGAAAGGCCTAAATAAAATTTTGATATATGATTTGAATATATTTGAGCAATATTGAATGAAATAATACAGTTTCATTTCGAAGGAGCAATTTTGAAAATGCTTAAAATTACATTAAATCAGCCGATCAAATTAGCATTTAATTAAATTGCTGTTCTTGTCAACACAACACATATAAAAAATATTAACACATTCGATAGTTTATACATCTGAAAAAGCATGTCCTTGAACACCTATACAACGTCGTGCTCTATTAACCACGCCAGAAAAAGCGTTTTGTACCATTTGTGCATCTAAACTTTGGCACGCTAAGATAACTGCCTGGCGGAGCTGTCTCAAATTCCTAGGCTGCTGCTCATGCGGGACGTTCCAGATTTGTTGCTTCAAATATCCCCAAAGAAAAAAGTCGTAAATTGCCAGATCAGGAGATCGAGGAGGCCAGGGCCAATCGGCGCGTTTTCCCATAACCTTGCCTAGAAACTGTCCGCGAAGATATCGCATCGTCGCATTGCTGGTGTGGCAAGGGGCACTGTCTTGCTGCCACCACATTACACGATGGTCAATATTGTGTTCACAAAAATCTCTCTGAATTACATGATAGCGAATAATTCGTAAATACTCTCTGCTGTCGAGATTCCCTTCCACAAAATGTGGGCCAAGAATAGTACTAGCTCTTGTTAAACCTGCCCAAACCATCACTTGTTCGGCACCTTGAACGAATTCAACGTAATGTTCGCGAGGGTGACCGTTACCATATTGCGCGTATCTGACAACATTGCGAGAGTTTACTTCAGAGTTAAGGGTGAAAACCGCTTCATCAGAAACTATTAAATTGATCAAGAAAACCAGGATTTTTGTCAACTGTGCCAACAAATCGATTGCAAAATGCAAGCCGTTGTGCTGGGTCGCCTTCTTTTAATGCCTGTCTGCGTATTAAAACATACGGATGAAATTTCAGGTCGATTTTCACAATGCGATTGAACGTGCATCGACTTAATCCCAGACCATTTCTTCTGGTGGAACGTTGTCCATTTTCTAGCAGAGATTGTCGGACTAGGTCAATGTTTTCCATCGTTCTTCCAGTTCTCGTCCTTCCACTCCATCCTTTATTGAGGTTAAGACATGTGTCTTCTGTCAAAAATTTGTTGTACGTTCTTTTAATTGCTGCTCTAGTCGGAGCACGATCACCTGGCCAACGTCCTAGCCATCGCCTTCTTACCTCTTCGGCATTATTTACCCTTGCATACTCAATACGAGCCCAAACTCTTTGATCTTTTGTTAGCTGAAGCATATTCAACTTGGTATAAAATAACGATATCCTAATTCGCTTGCATGCCTGAGGTCCCATGAGGCAAATCAAAGCGTTTGGCGAACTTTGGACAAGAAATGTTGGCATTTTTCATTTCCCACAAGGAACAAAGGTCAAAGTATTTTATGTAAACCATAAAATAATACAAGATTGAAGCTAACTTCTTTAAAAACTTCAGAACTCGCGAAAAAAATAGAAAATGTCTTCAAATAAATTTATTAAGTTGTCTTAATTGATTTTTCGCCAGTTTTAAAACTGAAGTTTGGCTTGAAACATTTATATCTCACTGAATATAAGGTGAAAGATCTAGCACTGTATACCAAAATTGAAGTTAGCATTTTCTTAATACTATAAACTTATTTGAAAGCCATACCTGGTATAGTTTTTACATCATATTAAATCAAACACCGGTACTTTTTTTGAGACACCCGGTATTATATATATTATACATATTATATACATTACTGCAAAGTGATATGTTAAATTTTCGTTGCAAGGTACAATCCTTTGGACCCATTTTCCTCCTTATCATTCGTAATCATGTAGCCACAAAACACAAAGAAAGATGGAAGTAAGTCGACGATACCAGTCTCTCCGAAACAATTGGGGAATGTGCTCACAGCAATATGCTGTCTATTATCGATGAAATTGACGATTGGTGCACAGAAAATGATATGGTCCTAAATCACTCCAAGTGCAAAGACCGAATTATCTGATTTGCTAAAGACACGCCGAATTTCCAGCGTTTGTTCATTAAGGTTCAACGTGCACCTCTTTATTTTTCGTGTATATTAAATAATCTAAAGTCTCAAAGAAACTTTTCTCTAAATCCCTAAAGCTTAAAATAAGTATAATCTACGTAATAATAAATATCTTGATTTAATTTTGTAGAACTAGTCGGTTTCCTAATTTGTTTATGCTGTCCAGTATCGTAGTCCATGTCGTAGTCTCTATCATGTTAATTTTTAATATATAATGTTGTGTAATAGTTTTGAATGTATATCAGGTTAGTAAGAAAATTCTGCATGTACAATTCAACATCCTACGTAGCTGCCATTCAGATTTGTTTTAATAAAACTCCAAACTCCATAATGTTTAATGCTTACAGCTTACTGTATAGGGTTTTTCATGTTTTTGGGACAGGACTTTCAAGTTACGACCGTTTTCTAAAATCTTTTGAACGAACATTTGAAGCGTCTACCGTTTACGCGAACTAACCAACGACAACGGTTAGTAAATAGTAACAAACTAACGAAGTTAATCGACAGCATTAACGTGTGTTTTCCCGTGGAAGATCACAAACACAAAATAGAAAATATTTTTAGAGAATGTAATATTGTTTGTAATATATAAAAAGTAATATTGTAATTTAGGTTGCATATATGGATTTATGTTCTACGCTTTACTAAGATTTATCTTACTTTGCCTAGAACAATTAAGTTCCTTTTGTTCCTAAACTTAGTAAACTACACTGCAACAAATCCATGAGTGCAAGTTGTTTTAATAAAAATGCTAATGGTAAACAATACACTTCTTATTAACTTCATCTATCAAATTATAATGATTGACCGTTGTCCGTTGTGGTTCCCGTCACTGCACGAACGGTATTCCAAAAAGAGCTTCTAAAGCATCGACCAGCAATTTGAGCCGCTGAAAATCCAAAGAATGAAACGTCCAAAGCCCGCCGTTTTTGGTCAACATACAAGTGAGGAAATCAATGAAAGGATTGTTGCCATGGCGTTTACGGATTTCATCAACATGCCTACCAGGCATGATGTTTGTCAAATCTTAAAAAGTAAAGTAATCACATGAATATGCATGCAATACTCTATCAACCTAAAAATCGTCTTTTGTTTATGTTTTGATCTAATGAGGGTAACAGGGCGGTATTCAAAAGAAAAAATCTTTGACCAACTATTACAACACATAATAATGAACGCCACAAAGAAGACATAATTGAGGCCTCAAAGAAGGGTGTCTTTGTGGACGAAAGAGCAACATCTTGGGAGCTATACAGTGTGCGGTGCGGGGCACCCGGCCCTCGACTATGTCGTTCCTTTTGACACTGCGGCTGTATTTCAATGAACTGAAATCCAACCTCTATTTAATTCGATAATTTTCAAGATACTAATAATTTTTCTCATTCAGATCAAAAGTTTATATTGGCCCAAAAGGTTGGTATTCGTAATCTGGGGCTTACCTTTGATAAAAAATTTCGTACTGTAAAACAATCCTAAGGATTTATATTCAAAATAAACACTGTTTCTTCGGAATCTAACTGGAGAGTGCCTTTCACCCATTTGAGAAACCTAGATGCAAAACAAATAAATTAACGATTTAAGATGTGTCGCATGTGCGAAGTCACGCTGTAAAAGTGACCAAACAAAAGGCTCCTTAAAAATGGTTTCAAAAATGGGGCTTTAAAATAGCCGTACAATATTTGACCCCTATAATTAAGAATAGGATTCCCCAGCTCGATTGCCGATGCTTTCGCAGCTATATTTCTTCAGAAGCACGTTACCCAATAAAAATATTTTGCTTAATATTCTTGTATGTTTGCATGGCCGGTGACAGTCGTTAAGTAATTTAGCTTGTAGGTACACTACGTAAGTATTTAATACTGCAAAGCTTTCGGACCGTTAATTGCAGGTAATTAATTTCAGGTAATTGCACTGATGAAGGCCCGGCCGGTTCAACGGACCGAAAGCTTTGCAGTGTTAAATACTCACGTGTTGCACCAAGCTAAATTACTTAATATTTTGCTTACTTGAAAGCATCCAGATAACAATTCCTTGCTTTAGAAATTCCACCAATTTCTCTTCACGCCTTGTTCTTACAGCCTGGAAATTGTGGTGTAGAGATTTGGAAAGGTAGCTCATTGCTGCTGTTGTCATTATCATGGATCCACACGTTTCTCCACTAGCTCCATCTCGTACTTTTAGATGACTTCCAGGGGCGTAAAGGAAATCCATTCTCTCAACTAACGTTTTCCATATCTCTGGCTTGCTAAGAGAGAATGACTTAGTTTCGTCACAGCAAACGAATGTCAATACCCCGTCATAGGATACCTTTAAAAAGAGAAATTCTAATTCATCGGTCCCTTAGGTACACACTATTGAGTATTTAATAATTATTGCCAAAAGACAAGAAAATCGGTCGTTACAATGTAAATGTCAAGCAATTCTTCCTTGTTGATAAAATACCATGATAAACTGAATGTTATATACCTTAGAAGGCTGCCAATCTAAATGAGCTTCAGCAGCAGATCTGACTTCGTACTTAGTTGTCTCAATTCTTTCTTTCAAACGAAGCACAATATTCTTTTCAGCAGCTTCATCCTCCAAAACATCAATAACCTTTTCCTGATGTTGCAATTCCTCGTAATAATCATTGACGTCATGTTTACTCTTACCCATTTCGACGAAAGCAATTTTTTCGAGCAGTCGTCTTGTCTGAGAAGGAATTTATACAATGTAACATGTATCAGCATTTTCTGTTCGCCCAACCGTGCATAATTATTTACGACAAAGAAAAAACAAAAAACCAAAGCAGTGATCTGTTCATGTTTTGGGACAAAGGTAAAGCATTGGTTTATCAAAATTTCTTTTAGTGTTCAAAATTCATTCATCCTGAGTAAACAGTTTGAATTCTCATTAAACAACATACTTAATCATTATCGAAATAACGAAACCAATCGAAAAATATATTTAGGGCTTGGATTCTCGAAGTGTACAAAGAACCACTATGAAACTCAATTTTTAAAAAGAGAAACCAATCCGTCACCGGGTTGAACATCAAAAAAAGCCACCCAAAATGAGCATAATTGGAAAAATTTTTGTTTCCAAAATATTGAAAAATTGTATATTAATTAACAAAGCTTCCCATTTTAACAATTTTAGGATGGTTTGTTAAATATTTTACTTAAAATTTTTCTAGTTTCAAAATTAATTCAAAGCAAAAGTTCAACGGATGTTTCTCAAACACAGGATCCACTTTGCCAAACATAGAAACTAATTGAAAAACAAGAATAAAAATAACTATATAACTATTTTCCCCGTTGAGTAATATAGGAAAATTTATATTTTTCTTTACCACATATTTTTCCGTTGACTTTAAGGTTAACTCGGTGGTCTTTCGCATCAATTCTTTACCGTTTGTTAGGGCTTTAGGGTGCCATGCGAACGTATCCACCATGAACACCATTGCAACAGTTTCACCATTTCTTTTCAGCTCACTCGCCATTTCGTAAGCCAACAGACCGCCGAACGAGTAGCCAGCTGAAAATGCGTTTCAAAAATCGTGGGCATGAGCGAGCATCCAGCTACAATAACTGACGTAACTGATGTAACTAAAAGACCCCTCTTGAATGACACGATACGGTAAAATTTATTATTTTTAATTTCTAGTTGGTAACAATATAGTTTTCATATAATTTGTTCTTACCAAGATAAAATGGACCTTCAGGCTGGATTTTTTTTATTAAATCTACATATCTACGAGCGAGTGTCAGCACCGTTCCATATTCACTCCTCTCAAATGACGTATCGTCCACTCCAATACCATATAATGCAACATGTGCCTGAAAAAAATAATAACTGATGAACGAATGCCATCACTCTATACCAGATGCAAGCATTAAATAATTTAATTTGTGAAATGATGGAGAATCACTTCATATGTACATATAATAATTGCGTATATCCCCTGAACTTGCATTTTAGATAGATAGGATAGATTTAGACACTGCCTTAATTCATGTAATACAGCGTAACTTACTGCGGTAAAGTGTTTTTAAACCACGTATAATTTTTTATTTACCTATAATTTTTTATTTCTATCAATCAGGGCATAAAAATGCCTCGAGATTTGCAGTTTTATATGGTTTTTCGTCAAACCCAGCGTAAGGTCGTAATTGATATTATTATTGATTGATAACTTTATGCATCTTAATTGATACAAGTTTGGTTCTACCTAGATTCTGATTGGGTAAGAGCCTACAGACAATTTTCACTGACTTGTCACTTACAACGACATTAAACAATTATTAGCTTCGCTTCGGCAGATAGCATTGGCCTTGGTCCAAATATTTCTTGTTATTATACATTATAGTAGTAAAAGCAATTTGACTGGCTAATAGTTGACAGATAAATCGCGCAATCACGCAAAATTCAGTTATCTGCTAGCAGATAACTGAGTTATCTGCTAGTGAGCCTGCGGTAGTTAACAAGCGGTTTCATTTGAATTCATTCGTTAATACTATGTTTATTATTCTTCAAATTTATAATAAAACAATTATTGAATTCGTTTTTGTGATATGCAGAGTTATCAAGGTCTCGGTAAGCGATAACGCTTACCCCGACCTTGATAACTCTGCATATCACAAAAACCTCATCCAATAATTGTTCAATATCATGCTCAGCGTCATGCAATAACTGTTAATAGTTTGTTTTTTTATCCATATATAATTTATGAATCTGATATAATAAGAATCTGATTTTTTACCCTGCAACCGGACCAAGTTGCTTGAAATCGTTACCTGTTTTTGGAAACCTTGCGCGAATGACGCTAGTCCAAGCGCCGACTTTTCGCTGGAGTGTGTCATAAATACTTTAACAAATACGTTATCTGGAGTATAAATTGGAATAACTTTCTCTGGATTTGAAGGAATATTTATGTTCTGCAGCTCAAGCCCATTGTTAATTCTTCCAATCTTAACTGTGTCATTGTAGTTAATTTCAGGTGAAATATTTTTTTATCTTCTTCATCGTTACTTGACAAACTTGGTTTCCTTTGCTTTACTTCTTCCGAGGATTCATTGTCCGCACTCGTCGATTCTACGTTTTCTATTTGTTCCAGAATATCATTAACGATTCTTAGACCATTCACATTTGGTTGGATAAAGTAATAAGCCTATATGTTGAGGAAAAACACCCGAATTAGCATTTCATCCATGCATAATTTTATTGGCGCTTAATTTAAATAAAACTTACATAGAGTGAAGGATGATATTATAAATATATTAGAGATAGCGTATTAATTTCATAAATGTGGTTAAATTATGCAAAATCGAGAGAAAATTGCTCGCTTTTGAGACAATTAGAACATTATCCCAACTTATATTTCGCTAAATGCTCGTGAAACGCTCTCGTTTAATAATTGTTAAGTGTCTACTCTTAATAGTGCGTGAATTTCTTTAAGAAATTAGTCGAAAAAGAAGGATAGGTGTTATGAGCTCGTATTGGAAGGAAAAAGATCGTGATTCTTACACACGAGTGCAATTTTCCGTCGTATAACTGATTAGTGCATCGTTTCATTAATAAGTAATAGCAAATTTGGTTTCTCCTACAATTATAGCTACACGAGTAAAAAAAAGCACTTTTGAGTATCTTATAACATTTTTGCTGGCTCATTGATCTCTTTTTTCATCAAGAGACTTACCTCAAATTTAGCCCCAATGTTGTTTTCAATTCGATGTTTCATATTTGTTGCAGCAATTGAATCGATTCCAAACTTGTACAGACCGATGTTTAAGTCCACTTCAGAGGCCTCACTACCTGACCACGAACTGAGCAAACGCCTAATGAAATCTTGAACTTTTTGAATTCTCAAATCCAACGGTAGTAGTGCTAGGCTCTCCAATGTCATTAAATTGTCCAAGACTACCAGCGTTTCTTCTCGTTTCCATTGGAACCTCAGAGAATTATGAGTTCTAAGATAAACTTGCCAATTCACAGGAGATATGCAAACTTGAGCTTCGTTAAAATTTTTAAGAATGATGCGTTCCATAAACTCAGTTGCTGAAAAAATATAGACCTGAAAAATCATTGCCAAGTGGGTGAATAATTATGTATACTTATAACCAATACAATGTTGCGACAATATTTTTGTACCAAAAAATTTGCCACCGATTCAATTCTTTCTTATTGAGTAATTTCATAATGTGCCTAGCTTAATGGATTATTTTCTTGATTTGAAGTAGCTAGGAGTTCTGCAGGAATGTGTTTCAAGTTGTTATTCTGAATATACCTTGCGTATAGTGAAGAGCAAAAAATCCGTAGGTTTCCAGGACTGATGTGATATCTGCATTTCTTTCCAGTACTCCAGCACCACTGATCGGTCCCCAGTTAATAGACAAAGCAGGCAGGCCAAGCTTGTTTCGACGATATTCACATAGTTGGTCTAAAAATGTGTTAGCTGCAGCGTAAGATGCTTGCCCAACATTACCAAGAACTCCAGATATTGAGGAAAACATAATGAAGAAATCTAGATCCATCGAAAGACTGAGTTGGTGAAGGATAACACTTCCTATTAGAAAAATAAAAGATAGCTATATTAAGATATTTTTTAATTAAAAATGGTAATAGTACATGGTTTTCACAATTATTATACGAATTATAATAATATTATTACGGTATAAATGGGAATAGCAATAGACCGAGAATTGCCATATCATGCAAGCGAAATCGAATCGCGCATCGGGAAATTAACCAAAGGTGTGCACCACAACTCTCGGGAGACAAAACTGTCACTTAGAAAAATACGGTCACATACACATTTCAAATACAAGTATATTTTGCGCCAAAACACACTTGCGACGAAAAATAATAAAAAAACAAAAAAAAACAAGCGAATTTTCAACTCCGTCGTTCACGCCGGAGTAATTAACAAATGTATTACAAAGAGATTATTGTTCATTATTGATAATTAACAAAGGCATAGTTCATTATTTATGGGTAAAGGCTTTCTTTAAGCACGATTAGCAGAGATCGTGGTAATTAAAAATAAAATTGTCGATCTAGGGTACAATTCAATAGCGTGAAGGGCTATAATGAAAAGACTTACCTTTCACCTTTGTCCCTACAACATTTCTGCATGTCTTCAAATCGGCTTTCTTGAGAAACTGGTCGGCCAATACCATAGCGGTAAAAACGATTCCAGCTACATCAGGTAGACTTTCTAGTTCGCTTCTAATGGCATTCATTTCATCCCAAGATGTGACGTCTGCTTGACGTAGAAGGATACGAGATCCAGTTTTCTTCTCTAATTGTTGGACCTCCGCAATCTTTTCGTCACTTGGTGGTGACCGCGCTGTACACATGACTGTTTTTGCCCCATTTTCAACCATCCATCTTGCGATTTGGAATCCAAAACCTCGAACCCCCCAATGACAAGATAAGTTCGATCATTTTTTAAACCATTGATGTCAAGAGGTAGATTATAGAAATCAACCTGCCCAGGAACTGTCTCTGGCTTCACAGAAATTATGTTTAAACCAAAGTTCCCTTTTCGTTCAACTTCAGGTAGGCATCGGTTATTGGATTCATCGCCACGTTGCATAACATCGTATATGCTCGATGCTTTTTGAGCTATATCTAGAAGCTTGTTCCAAAGCCCTTTCGCTTTCAAGACTGAATAACACGAATCCAATAGCATGGAAAAATCTGCAGAACTCTTAGTTATGTCTTGTAAACTAGTCAAAATAAAGCGAACATCTTTCACGTAAACCCATGAGTTAAGCATCATAATTTCGGCCCCGTCGAGGGTACATGTAATAACACTTGCTCCTTGTTTAAGATGTTTCAGTATTTCACCTGTGACATAAGTACTGCTTCTGCTCAGAAGGCAAACAGCATCAAAATCCTTACAGCTATTATCCTTATGTTCAGCTTTCGCTACTTCGTTTTCACTTACAACCAATAACTCTCCAAATCGATCTTTACTTGACGGATTGTGAACAAGACACACAACATTTATACCTACAGACGCGGCAACGCAAGCAAAAATGTAGCATACTTCTTCACTTTGATGATAGACAAGAACTTTCTTATCACCTTCTATGCCACAAAGAAGATTTGTGAGAATGTAGTAAGACATTGCCATGGGAAATCCAATGGACACAGCTTGTTGAGTGGTGAAAATGGCTTTTATCTCCGTGAAGCAGGTTTCCTCTGCGGCAACGTAACTTCCAAGATTATCAATTTTACAGATGCCCAACACAAAGGGATCATTGTTTGCCTCCAGTCCATTGCACATTTTCCCAGCAATTGAAATAAGATCGTTCGGTTTCAGATCTTTCCAATGCTTATGAAGAATAGGACAGGCATAGTAGACTTCAATTTCTCCAATCCGTTCTTTTGACCCTTTCTGTAGAAACCACTGACCTGACCAACTCGCCATCTTTACAGGCTTTAGTGCTCCATCTTCCCCTAAAGGTGATTCCCTTTTCGTACATTTGGACTCGTCAGGATCAAACTTTTGAATACGATTGACATACCGTTCACCATTTCTATATACAATCTCTTCTTCTAGCAATGTTTTTTCAATGTCTTGTGCAATTGCATGGAAATCTTCATCGCTAGGATTGGCCGGCAAATCAATCACAGAGGCAGTGGGGACAGTGATTTCTTCTGAGAAGGTTCTTCTAAATCCAAATACAGATCCAGACCATGGAAAAGTATCATCAGAACTTCGTTCTAGTTGAGGAATTGAAATCACTCCTGAAGTGATGAACACAAGCTGAATCTGTTTGAGAAACTCTTCTCTCTTTAAAATTTCTTGAGAAATCAAAAGACAGCTCTCAAACGCAGAGCTATGAGCAGCATCAAAGTTGCGCGTATCGATATTGAATTTGCTTGCATCCACAGGCCAGAAATTGATCACCATTAGCTTTTGATTAGCTTCTATTTTCCCCAATACTTTATCTAGCGATCGGGAAAATGCATCACGAGATTCATCTGAGGTATCTTGTTTGTCAACAAAATGAACACTTCCGCTTTGCAGGACATGCTGTGCAAATCGTTCAGCAAATTTACTTTGGTCTCTCAGAATCAGCCAAACGTAATGCTCACGAACTTTTGAAGAGCCAGACGCCAACTGCTGCCAACCAAATGTGAACACTGCGTTATCAAATTTCACTTCCTCTCGATCTGACAGTATTTCTTCTATAGTAAACTGGTCAATAATCATCAAAGCACGGCCACACTGATCCAAAAGGAAAATGTTAAACGCCTCTCCTTTTTCTGATTCTACGATCTTTGCGTGAGCATAAAACTGCTGCGTGCACGTCGTCTGTTTCAAAATGTTGATGCGTTTAATCTCCTTTGGCACAGCTTTAACGACAGATTTGATGTCCAACAGAATGGTTGTCTGTAAACATGCATCAATCACCGAAGGATGCAAGACATATTCTTCTGTATTAGCGATTTCTTCAGTCGGACATATGAGAGAAAGGGCTTCATTGCCACTGGACCACGCCCTGACTATCAAGTCAAACTGAGGACCGAATGCGAAACCCGCAGTTTCACGAGCTTTAAGAAAATCTGCCCTTGACCATTCTTCCATTGAAGATTTAAGAATTTCAATATCGTACGGATTTCCTTTCTGGGAGACTTCTAAAATGAAAAAGCTTTGAATAAGCGTTAAATGAAGATAAGCACTGCGCTTTCTACCTGGACACGACGCCTTGTAGCAATTATGGCGTCGTTTAGGTGCAACCCAGAAGTTATAATAATATAGCTGTCATTATTTAGTATTTTTAATGATATGGCTATCAGCCATATACGACGAGATCGAGCGAGTAGTTTTTTATATATACTACATAATATATAGCTACCATAAATACCATTTTATAAGCGAAATAGACATTGCATGAAAACATAACTATAGATGGGCAATTGATGAAACTATGCACACCATTT